TTTGATGTAGAGGGATGGTGGGAAAAATCTATTCAAAAACTTCTCTTCTACACTACTCCAATTAGTCAGACTCTGATTAGGATGTGATTTCAGCCACTCCTTTGCCCTACCTGCCAAAGAAAAAGGAAATAATATCAAATATGCAGATTCAAGATTTGCTGCTCTAAATCCCATGGTACCAATCAACTCATAAAAAATAGACAAATGAATATAAAGGTCTTCATGATCCAATCCAGTGAATTGATGAGCATTAATCAAGCTTAAGAAAGCTGGATTCATCTGCAATGTATGATCATCCAGAATGATAATGCTGGAAAAATGTCTTGGACCTTACTGCATAGCACAATTTCTAAGAGTTCTTCTAGGTGGATTTGCATTTGGATTTTGATTTGGATTTGGATTTGCTCCTTCTTCTGTCATATCTTTTATAATTGGGTCTGGTAAATCAAGTGTGAAAGAAGAATTAGCATATTCTCTTGTAGCTTGTTCTTGAGTTTCCCTTCTTCTTCTACCCCTGTTCCTCCGAGTTGTTTTTTCAATCTCTGGATTAAATTCTAACTGCTCTGAAGATACCTGTTCTCTTAAATGCATAAATCAAAAGAACAACTCAAGCAAATATTAGCACAAACTAAAAATTAAATAATAATAATAATAATAATGATAATAATAATAATGATAATGATAATAATAATAATAATAATAATAATAATAATAATAATAATGATAATAATGATAATGATAATAATAATAATAATGATAATAATAATAATAATAATGATAATAATGATAATGATAAGAATAATGATAATAATAATAATAATAATAATAATAATAATAATAAAAACAAGAAATAAAAATAAAATACTCAATAAGCTAAATAAAGAATTCTCAAAGAACACCGTTCCCAGCAACGACGCCAGAAATACTTGTTGAATTATTGGCAAACGTACCAAAATTATCAATCGCAGTATAGTATTTCGATTAAATAAAAGTCGATCCCACGAGGAACGATTTCAATGGAAATTCTCAATTCTGCTTACTAAGTAGATTAAAACAGATTGAGTTTTGCAAATAAGAGTTGAATTGAAATTAAATGATAAAGAACTGTAAATTGTTGAGAAAATATCAATTAAAGGTACTTAGGATTGACTTTCTTCCTTATCCCTCTTTTGTAATGACTATGTCAATTAAGAACGTCAATTAATCTAACAATGTTGATGCCACCTACTCAAATCATCCATGTTGATTCCTCACACATGAAATTCATAAGAAAACCTAATAAATGTTGATTCCTCACACAATTAACAGATTTTTCAGCATTAGGTTTAGGGTGTTAAGCAATTGATACATTCATTACATTCCTGACAATTAACGTAACAAATATTCTTACCGTGATCTAGGGTTCAAGATATATTTTCCAATTATACCTCAAACAATCAAGAATAAATCATTCCAAAGCATAAAGGATAAGAATAACAACATCAAAGCATAGATTAAGATCTCAAAATATCACCATGATACAAAAAATTTCAAAGGAAATGCACCGAATCCTAAGAGAATGAAACTAGCCACTCATGTTGGCCATTACAATGCTCCAACTGATGAATAAGTGGAGAATTGATGAAGATTAAACAAAACCCTAACCGTAGTCGTGCCTCCTCTCCTCCAAGACTGCTTGCTTTTCTCAAAACACAACTTATCTTTTTATAAGAGAATTTGGGTCGGGCCTCACATCATTCATTCGCTTAAGCGCTCTTCTTTCTTTCAATTTTACTCCAATTATGCTGACAATTATGCTCTTTACTCTTGTATCAAGGTATTCTCGAATTCATCCTATATTAGGAGAAAACTATATTAGAATTAACATAAATTAAGTGGTTTCATAACAATTCAAGGCATAATTATATCAACTTTTTACCACATAACAGTAGTCTAGATCTTTGTCCCACTTAGGGGCACCATCGTTCTTTATCGCGCATTTGTTATCCATCTCATCTTGTTTTCTATTGCATCTTCAACTTTCATTGCATCCTTCATTGCGGTCCTCCATTATTCCATTCATCATGTCTTTCGTCGCATCCTCTCATCTCCATCGCATATTTTTGTCCTTGTTGTGCCCTTATCTTTGTTATATTTTCACTCTCCGTCATGTTCTCTCCTGTGTTATCATTGTCCATCATGATCTCGAGTTATATTTATCTGTAGATTATTGAAAAATTCTAAATTATATATTGTTTGAGATTAATTTATAATTATTAAATATTCTAAATTTTTTATATTTATTTGATATTTTTATGTTTGTTTTTGAACTATTTTACATTTTATATTTGTTTGTGAATGGATTTTTTTTTATCGATCAATCCTATAAATAATATATTTTAAAAGAGATATTACCTAAATAAATTTTCTATCAATTTATTTATCCAAGTTGATTTGTTTCTATTTATATGTAGTTTTTCTTTTTTCTCCTCATAATTTTTTTTAATTTTTCTTATTAGTCATTCACTTCTTGTTTTTTTTATCCCACAATTTTTCTTTTTCTCTCCTCTCCCACCTATACTTCTAATTAAACTACTATATGAAATTTAATAAAAATACATTAAAACAAATACTTTAAAATCAACATTGAAACTATAAAAAATATCAACTAATTATTTACAATTATAATGATAATAATTTCATTTATTATGATAGTAAATAATTTTATTTACAATGACATAAATAATTAATTTAAATTTATTTTATCATGATAAATAATTATTCATCTAATTAAAAATATCAAATATTTATGATTTGAATATATTTCTTATTAATTTTTATTAATTTAATCTTGTTATAAGTAGGTTGAGTTATGATAATTAGTTAGATGAGTTAATTTTAAAAATATATTTATTAAAAAAGTTACTTTTAAATCAATATTTTTTTTATAATTATAACATTTCAATAATATTTATAATATCTCAAATTTATCATATAGTTTTAAATTATAATATTTTTAGATCATTTAAATATTTTTATTTTTCAAAAATAATAAAATACTCACTTTATTAAATTTCAATCTACTATTTTAATTGAATAATAATATGGCATAAAAAAAACAAAAAGAGGTGAAAGAAAAAAGATACTAAAGGAAGACAAAAAAAAATGAATAACAAGAAACAAATGAGGGAGAAAAATAAGAAGATAAATTATGAAAGAGAAAAAAATAACTGTATTATATGGGATGAATTTATTTCTTGTTATTGAATTTTTTATAAAAAAATAAATAGATCTTAATAAGTAAATAAACTTTGAGAAATCCTATTCAAATAATTTTTTTAAAATATATTATTTATGAAATTGTTTCTGTTTTTTCTATATTTTTAATATATTTAGAAATGCAGGAACAAACAACTTTCTCTTAAAATATCATTTAACTTAATATTATATAAAAAAAATCATGAAATTTAGTATACTAAATTTATAAGTGAATTTAAAAAATATATATATTTATCTTCTTTAAACTACTTAAACAACAAATGTCAAATTCTGTCTTATACTATTTTAATATCTTCCATTCTTCTTAGAGGTAATATTTTTCACAAAACTTCTTTAAATAAGGTTTATTAAAAAGATACATAATTAAAAAAATACATTTTTTTTAAATTACGATAACAAAATAAGCTTAATTGATCCGAGAAATAACTCGTCAAAAGTTTTGTAGACTAAATAATTATTTTTTAAATAAAAATAAAGTAAAATTATTTATTAAAAATGTATATTATAAACTAATTTGATAATAAATTCACTTATTTTAAAACTAAATATAAAATTAAATATTTGATAACTGAATTATTCTAAATCTAATGATTAAAATAAATTATTATTTTATATTAACAAATTATTAAAAAAATAATCATAATAATAACAATAAAGAATATATTTTTAATTCTTATTTTAAAATTAAGTAAATATGTTTCTTATATTTTTATATTAAATTATTATATTTAAAATAAAAAAATTATTAATATAATTAAAATTGTTTTTCTTTCTTTTTTAATATTTTTAAATTAATTGATTTAATAAAAATATATAATAATTTTTTGTTTATTTTCAATAATCAAAATTGACTTTGTTAAAGATTAATCTAATATAAAACCAAATTACACTCAAATTTAACATCTATTTTAAGATATAAGTGAGACTGAAATATAAAATCAAATTACACTCAAATTTAACATCGATTTTAAGAGACTGAATCATTTATACTTTTTTAATTGAGCTTTAAAATCAGAGTAAGAACACGTTTTGACCGTCATAAGGTAACTATGAGGTTGGATAAATGACCTTTTTCATGATTGCAAAATGACACGTTTCCTTCCTATTCTCAACAATCTCATTCCAAGATTTTGATGTTATTTGCATGAATTTGCTGTAACCTATAATAAATATTGTTCCTTCCATCAATCTTGTTTTAAAGCCGACCCTTATTAGTCTCAGTCTCTCTGTCATTTTCATGCTGAGTTCTTTTGACCAAGGCACTAACGTTCACGACTTGTTGACGTTCTTGAATTTCCTTACCCTTACTAACCCTTCTTATACCTCACACCTTCTCTTTGGTCTACAATATTACGTTGTAAATGGCGCTTTCCATTCAAACCAGTATATTATTTCTTGTAACTCCGCATGTTTTCAATCTAAAATTTATTTGGATGACAATGATTAAAAAAAGTACGTAATTATTTCCGTAATATTTCACTTAAGTTTAAACAAACACAATCATAACAATCCAGTACAAAACATCATTCACCAAATGCGGGTAAAATTCATATTCATAAATACCAGATCACACAACATTTTCGCAAATTACGTGTTAAATATTTAGTTTACTATTGTAAACAAGACATCACAAAAATACAAGTTGAAATAAGTAAATAGAAGAAGAACGGTAGGTAGTAGCTGAAAACTATCACATTTTCCCCTTATTATCTATCTTTCACAGATACTAGAATCGGAAAACATCAAAAGCTTGGTTTTAGTGTGTTTCCAATGTCAATCACAAATCTATATTTCACATCTGCTTTGAGGAGACGCTCCATTGCAGTGTTGATATAATCAATAGGAATGACCTCAATGTCAGGTTTTACATTGTGTTCCGCAGCAAAGTCAATCATCTCTTGGGTCTCCTTTAGACCTCCAATGTTACTCCCAGCTACTATCTTTCTCCCTGCCAACATAATTGAAATGAAAATACTTAACATCAAAATGCTGATTCAAATTTTCATATGCGCATATAAATCTGCATTTTATAGTAAATCACTTGCTTACCAATAAGCAAAGGAAAGATTAGCAGCTCCAGAGGCTTCACCGGTGCACCGACCATTACAAGCTTTCCATGAGACTTGAGCAAATCAATGAGAGGTAAGAGAGGATGAGCGGCAAAAACTGTGTCAATAATGCCATCCAAACTACCCCTAGCAGCCTACAAAATTATCAATTGAGAGAAATGTTTGTATAAGTATCTCCCCCATCCAAAAGCACCGCATAATATTTATATGTACCTGCATCTGATCTTCGTCACGGCTTATGATAAAGGAGTCAGCTCCAAGATGTTTAATTGCTTCTTCCTTTTTGTGGGGTGATGTACTTATTACTGTGACCTTAGCCCCAAAAGCTTTGGCAAACTTCACAGCCATATGGCCTAGTCCACCGAGACCAACCACACCCACATGCACACCAGGCTTGTCTAGTGCAAAATATCTGAGAGGGCTATACACTGTGATCCCAGCACAAAGGAGTGGCGCAGCAGCATCAAGGGGTAAGCCTTCAGGAATTCGAACCACAAAGTGTTCGTCTGCAACCATTGAATCAGAGTAACCTCCATATGTGATGGTACCATCTCTATATCTGGCACCATATGTGAGAGTATATTGTGGACAATAACTCTCAAGATTGTCAGAACAGTTTTGGCATGTGCGGCAGGAATCAACCAAGCATCCCACACCCACCTTGTCCCCAATTTTGAACTTTTCTACTTTGCCTCCCACCTCTGTCACTACACCAACTATCTCATGCCTGCACCATTTCTTACATTCTTAGAATCAAACTACATTTATTTACTTCATTTCTATTTTTCTTATGGACCTATTTAAGTTAACAGTCTCCTCTTAAAGCAGATTAGGATTAAGATTAAAATAAATTTAGTCTACTATAAATTAAATATATTTATAGCAATATGTAAATCAACATATTATAATTAGTGTAGTTTTGACGATATAGAAAAAAAATAATTAAAATAATTATATTATTTTTTATTTATTTTTCTTTCTTTCATTATCATTTTAATAAAATAATTTTAAAAATATGTTTACTTATTTTTTATTTATTTTCTCTAATGTTGTAATTGTGAAATAAAAAGTATAATTTTTCAAAATGTTTAATTTCCCTTTTTATATAAAAAAGTGGCAATAAAAAGTCACCAAACATATCTTTCTTTCATAAATAATTATGAAAACATTATATTTTTATCTTTTTTATATAAAAAAAAGAGTGACAATGAAAAGTCACAAAACCATTTTTTTTATTTATAAATAATAATGACAACATTATATTTTTATTTTATTTATTGTTTATAAATATTCGTAAAAAATCTTAATGAAAACGAAATTAAATTAATTTATTACATTTAGCAATTGAAATAAAAAATAAGATGAGATAATCACTGTTATTTATAAAATTAAATTTCATATTTTATAAAAGAAATGTGAAAAATGACCTAATAGAATTCAAGATTTTTATTATTTCTACAACATTTTAATTAGAGAAATGGAGAATAAAAAAAGTTAGTTGAGAAAAAAAAATAGATACAAAAATTGAATATAAATTGTTTAGCAATTAAGTAGAAATACATGAGAAATAAGAGTAACTTTTTACATATTTTGGATTGAGTTTTTATCATTTAAATTCTTTTTAAATTATTATTTATTTTATTAATTGTGGATCATTATATAAATAATGTTTGAGTTTATGATTTTTTTTTATTGTAGAAATATATGTTTTTCTTTTGTGTAATCATGTTGGATAATGATGTTAATATTAATCATTTAAATTAGATTATACTGTGAATATCAAAAAGAAAAATTCGTATTTTCAATTACAATTTTTTCTTTGTGAAATCATATTTTGAAGTCCGACTTATTCATTTATATAATTCTTTTAAAAATTATCTATATGCAAGAACCGGATATAAAGTATAATGTATATATATACCCGGGGACAAGTGGATAGGTAGAAAAGAACCATTCGTTCTTTATCATGTGGAGGTCAGAGTGACATATTCCACAGTACAACACTTTGAATGCCACATCTTTTTCACCAGTTTCCCTGAAAAGAAAATATTGCAAAGCAGAACCGAATTTGTTAATGAGGTGATTAATGGTGTTGGTATTTTCCTGAAGAACATGTGATTGAGAAACGAAAAAAGCTGCAACAACTATGTAGAAAGATGTAGTGAGTGAAGAGATTAGGGAACCTTCTGGAGAAGTTGAAAGGTGAGAGATGGCCAGAAGGGTCCCTGGCTGCCCATCCGAATGCTTTTCTGGGATGCTCCACTTCACCCTGTGATGCCATTTCAATCTGTTACAATATTTGGCAGAGAGAAATGTGTGTGGAGGAGTGAGGAAGTAGAAAGGAAGAAAGAACTCTTTATAAGTGCATGATGAAGGTTCTCTTGACGTATTTCCTGACGTATCTGGTGAAGTTATTGCTTGATTGATAATAGGTTGACAGTGTCAAAGTCAACTTGAAAGCAGAGCCATCTTATTATTGTCTTGCTGATCAAGCTATTATAGTTTTTACAAGATAAATAATATAACTGTAACAAAATTTTATGATATATTTTCAATTTTTATTTACTTCTATTACATGATTTATCATATTTTACACATCTATTCTTTCACTTCTACCCATCGTATGACACAGTATAATTACTCTTTTGAAAAAAAAAACGAAATTTAAATTAATTCTTACACTTTTGGCTAAAATTAATTTACACTCAGCTTTCAGAATAAAATACTAGGAGCTGTATGCGTACCTGTCTACAAGAACCACACATTCAAGAGAAAAAGGACATTACTCAGGTATTTTACATATATATATTGTTTATTACAGTAATGCTTTCTTTTATGACATTCAGGTTCAGTCTTGTTTCGTATCAGAAGTGATAGCGATTGTTCATTTGACGAACCTTAACATTAACTATGCTTCTGGATTTTGTCGCTAACATTAACTTCCATCAATATTACAAGTCACAACTACCAACGAATCAATGGTATGTGTTGGCACTACTTCCTCTTTATTATTTACTTTTATTGCTCCTCCTTTTCTTTTCTGCATTTTTCACATTGAAGACCTGAAAACGAAAAAGGTTAATACACATAATTTCTTGTGTGCTTAATTAATTCATCCTATGTACACTTAAATAAATAATTTCTCAGTCATAAAAAATTGCGTTAAACGTAATCTAAATTCAATCCTGTTATAGAGTTAGTTCATATAATCATCAGGTTATAAAATATATATTTTTAATAATGAAGTTTGGACGGGGTTGAAGTTTAACAAAGTTAAAATATATCAACCATAACTGGATCAGTAGAGTTAAATGGAGATTTAACAACAAGTTCATAAATCATTTTTTTAAAAGGAAGTTCACATCAGTTAACATATGATTAAATTATGTATTTAATAATGTCTGGTTATTGTTGAATGAATTTATATACATGCGCAGTCTAAAATTCTAGATGATAGAATGATATATTTTCTAAACATTGTTCAAAGTTGAGGCTTGTTAGTCAAACTTCTTAATGATCTAATTAAATAAAACTAACGTAAATATGATTAATATAAGAGCAAACCAAAATTAAATTATTATTGGATTTCATAAATTGTGTCCAAATTATTTAACTATCTCCTTGAATAAGATCTCATGAAATACATTTTTAAGTTGGATTAGACCAAACTAAGTTAATAATTTCATAATTCAATGAGTTATTTAATTGTCTCATTCAACAACTTTATATTTATAGTATAGATAGCATAAATAAGAGGGGAAGATTCCTTAATTTGCCTTGTTTATACTCAATCTATTACAGTTAAATATAATGACTATATTGAAAATTACTATCGAAACAATGTTCTACGGATTAAGTTAATTAAAATATATTTTTAAATTAAAAGTTTCAAATATTTTTATTTTTATATTTTGATTTATATTAATGATAATAAAAACTATTTTATTAACTAGACTAATCCCTCCTTAAAAGCCATTCGAACTTATATTTTCTCTCATATACATATACATTTATTATAAATATCAGTATGATATATGAGATATTTATAATTAATTGCCATAACCTCTCGTGAATGAGATTACTTGTGCATTCTTCTATTGATATATTAAAGAATTTCGTCGATAACGATTTTTGAGAAAATAAATAAAAGGTCTACACCAATTGATAGAAAAGACAAATAAAAAGTAAGACTTGTTGGGATTAATATTTGTATTTGTACCGTGTAAAATGGAGAAAATCATTTAAACAATTCAAAATTTGAAAGTCCAATTTGTAGATGACGCAAAAGTTAAGGGTGATTGTTTTATAAGCAACAGAAGAAAAAGAAGTAACTCATCGCATTAGAAATTCCTTTCCATTATTTATACAACATAAACTTTTGTTGGCAATTTTTATTTTACATTTGCAATGTTGACATAATCGATAAGAACGACATAAATGTCGGGTTTTACGTTGTATTCATCAACAAGGTCAATCATCTATTGGTTCCCTGCATATCCCTCCACTGTAACTGGTTATTATGTGTTACTTTTTTTTTTTTTAATTCTCGTGATAATTATTTGTGAGTTTGTATTCTTCTACACGAATTAAGAGTTATTAAGTACGGGAGGATTTTTAATTGTTATGCCAGTGATAATTATATCACCTCAAGCGAAATTAATTTGTGATTATAAGTAGACTAAAAGAAACTTACCATTAGAAAAAACAAATTAGGAACTATTATTTTGAGAGTTATTTAAGTATACAAATTATTCATCAATAAATTATTATTTTGGTACGCCTAATAAAATTTTGAATGGTTTCAAAAAAAAAAAAAGAATTGTTTGTGTAAATAATTATTCTTTGAGTTATATATAGAGGTATGGAAATAAGTTTAATTCCATAGACAAACCTAAAAGAGTATAAAAATAATTCAGATTTCATAAAATAATTATTATTTTTTAAACAAAAATATAATATTATTTTATTATATATATATATATATATATATATATATATATACTATAAATTAATTTGATAAAGAATTCACTTATTATCAGATTAAAAAATAGAGTAAATTTTTAGAAAACATTTATTCAAATATTTAATGATTAAGATTAATTACTATTTTAAATTAATAAATTATTAAAAAAATAATAATAAAAAAAATAAGTGTATAATTATTATTTTGATATTAAATAAATTATTATATCTTAAATAAAAATTAATTTTATTAATATAATTTAAATTTTAAAAATATTTTTTATTTAAATATTTTTAGAAAAAAAAACAATTAGACTAAAATTGTTCTGCTAGTCCGTTAACTTAATCTAAAATCAAACTAAAAATTTTAATATATTTTAAAATATAAGTCAGAATTATCAAATCTTTTTATTTTGTTTGTAGATGAAATTATGTAGATTGAACAGTGCATTCTCACGAATCACGATTTTAGTTATATAATATTTATCGGTGTAAATAGAGGAGGGAAAATGTAAATGTTGATGATAAGCACAATATTTATTTATGAATTAACGAGCTTGTTAATAAGAATTCTTGTTAGAATAAAAATTGATTGAGTTATTTAAAATTGAGGTATACATACACCAAAGAGAATAGTTGGCGTCATCTAGTTTAATGCCAATCAATACACCTGTTATGATGAATGCTGATCTAAGATAGTATTGAAACTTGATTAAAAACCTACGTATTTTTTTTACGAACTGTTCAACATCAAAATTATCAATTGTAATATAGTATTTCGGTTAAATAAAAGTAGATTTCATAAGAAACAGTTCAATGTAAATTTCCAATTATGTTTACTAAGTAGATTAAAACATACTGATTTTGTAATAAAAGTTGAATTGAAATTAAATGACAGTGTAAATTGTTTAGAAAATATCAATTAAAGGTATTTAGGATTAGTTTCCTTCCTCATCTCTCTTTTGTAATGACTATGTCACTTAAGAACGTCAATTAACCTATCAATGTTGATGTCACCTACTTAAATCATCCATGTTGATTCCTCACACATGAAATTCATAAGAAAACCTAATAAATGTTGATTCCTCACACAATTAAGAGATTTTCCAACATTAGGTTTAGGGTGTTAAGCAATTGATACATTCATTTCATTCCTGACAATTAACGTAACAAATATTTTTAATCGTGATCTAGGGTTCAAAATATATTTTCCAATCATACCTCAAACAATCAAGAATAAATCATTCCAAAGCATAAAGGATAAGAATAACAACATCAAAACATAGATTAATATCTCAAAATATTACTATGATACAAAAGAGTTCAAAGGAAGTGTACTGAATCCTTAGATAATGAAGTTAGTCACTCATGTTGGTCATTACAATACTCCAATTGATGAAGAAGTGAATAATTGATGAAGATTAGATGAACAGCAGAAACTGTGTCAATAATACAGTCCAAAGTACCCTTCGCAGCCTACAAAATAATCAACATTAGTTAATTGAGAGAATGTGTACTTCCATAATTAATATGTGTATGTACGTTCGTATCTGATGCTGGTCACGGCTTCTCAGAAAAGAGTCAGCTCCAAGATGTTGTATTGCTTCCTCCTTTTTGTTAGGTGATGTACTTATTACTGTGACCTTAGCGCCAAAAGCTTTGGCAAACTTCACAGCCATATGGCCTAGTCCACCGAGATCAACCACATTCACATGCATACCAGGCTTGTCTAGTTCAAAATATCTGAGAGGGCTATATACTGTGATCCCAGCACAAGGTGAGGAGCAGCAGCATCAAATGGTAAAAGCCATCAGGAATGTGAATCACAAAATGCTCATCCACAACCATTGAGTCAGAGTAGCCTCCATATGTGATGGTGTCATCTCTATACTTGGCACCATATGTGAGTGTATATTGTGGACAATAATTCTCAAGATTGTCAACACAACTTTTGCAGGTGCGACAGGAATCAACCATGCATCCTACACCCACCTTGTCACCAACCCTGAACCTTTTCACTTTACTTCCCACCTCTGTCACTACACCAGCTATCTCATGTCTGGAGCATTTTTAGCACTAATTTAGAATCAAATTAAATTAGTCCCTTAATATTATTACGGTTCAATGTTCGAAAGAGTATATATTGGTGGCTAGTGAACCATCTTTTAGTGGTTCATTCAGTTCCACATCAAGAATTTGTATATTGTTATTAAGTAAATAGAAAAACCAAAACTGGTTTTTCTTTTATCGTACATATCACCCTCATGTGATAGAATTAAAACAAGAATTGTTATTAAAGTATAATATACCCAGGGACTAATGGATAGATAGAAGTTCCCCATGCATTCTTAGCAAAGTCGAGGTGTGCATGACATCCCACAGTACAACACTTTTAATGCCACATCTTTTTCACCTGTTTCCCTGAAAATCAATCACAGACACAATCACGAAGCAAAACTAAATTAATTGAGTGCAATGTTGTTCGTATTTTCCTGAAGAACTAACTAGTGGAAGCAAAAACGGAGTGCTCTATAATAACTAAGTGAAATTTATATTTTGAGTGAAGAGATGAACCTTCTGGAGAAATTGAAAGGTGAGAGAAGGCCAGAAGGGGGCCGAGCTGCCCATCCGAATGCCTTCTTAGGATGCTCAGTTTCTGGTTGTGCTGCCATTTCAATCTTATAATATTTGGATCATAAAAGAAATCCAAAAATGACTAAATAAGGAAGAGAATATGGAAGTGTGTGTCTGTGTCTTCGAGTAAGACCGCAGTTGCGAGAAAGAGCAATTTATAATTGGCATGGAGATTGGAGAGGATTACATTGCCGTCTTTGGTGACGTCTTTCATGTCTCAGGTGACAATATTGCGTACTCCAGAATGTTTTGACGGGCGCATAATGCAGAGAATTCATTGAACAACCTTGTTGAAAGGTCTTGTTTTTTCCAGCAGCCTCTTCTCAGTGTACTGTACAAAATGCGCATAGTGGTTATGGATACATACTTTTTAGATTCCTTTAAATGCGATTATTTAATATTAATGGATAAATAATTTATAAATTAATTAGTTAAATAGAAAGAATATGCCTATACATAAATCTATTTTACATTATGAAAAACTTATATTTTCATTTTAATTTTTATAAATGTTTTATGAAGAAATTTATTTAAAAGAGTGGATCCGTACATGCGTGAGTGAATTATTGGAAACAAGATGGAGTAAAAAATAATTCATCTAACAAAATGTATTAATTCTATGTCAAATAAATGTAGTTCAATTGGTTGAAAAATTTGCGTAGAATATTATTGTATATTTTCTGATATGGATTCAATTTCTCCCTCTAAAGAAAATTATGTTAGGTTCTTACGTTAAAAAAAAAAAAAAAAATCATCAGTTAAATTTTTTGCAATAGACAATTAATTTACTAAATTATCATAAAAGAATAAGATATACTAGCGTGCGTGGGAAAAATTCAAGAGCTTGATTTTAGTGTGTTTCCGATGTCAATCACAAATCTATATTTTACATCAGCTTTATGGAGACGTTCCATAGCAGTGTTGACATAATCAATAGGAATGACCTCAATGTCAGGTTTTACATTGTGTTCCGCAGCAAAGTCAATCATCTCTTGGGTCTCCTTCATCCCTCCAATGCTACTCCCAGTTACTATCTTTCTCCCTAGCAACATAGTTGAAATCAAAATACTCATTAACGTCAAAATGCCGATTTAGATTTTGATATGTGCATGCACCTGTATTTTGTATTAAATCACTTTCTTACCAAGTAAAGAAAACACTGGCAGCTCCAGAGGCTTCTCTGGTACACCCACCAGTACAACCTTTCCAGGAGACTTGAGCAACTCGATGATAGGAAATAAAGGATGAACAGCAGAAACTGTGTCAATAATACCATCCAAAGTACCCTTTGCAGCCTACAAAAATAATGATTAGTTAATTAAGGGAATGTTTATTTCCATAATCCAATGTATGGCATAATACAGACATATACCTTCATCTGATCTTGGTCACGGCTTATCAGAAAAGAGTCAACTCCAAGATGTTGTATTGCTTCCTCCTTTTTATTGGGTGATGTACTTATTACTGTGACCTTAGCCCCAAAAGCTTTGGCAAACTTCACAGCCATATGGCCTAGTCCACCGAGACCAACCACACCCACATGCATACCAGGCTTGTCCAGTGCAAAATATCTGAGAGGGCTATACACTGTGATCCCAGCACAAAGAAGAGGTGCAGCAACATCAAGTGGTAAGCCATCAGGAATTCGAACTACGAAGTGTTCATCCGCAACCATTGAATCAGAGTAACCTCCATATGTGATGGTACCATCTTTATATTTGGCACCGTAGGTGAGAGTAAATTGTGGACAATAATTCTCAAGATTGTTAGAACAGTTTTGGCAGGTGCGACAGGAATCAACCAAGCATCCCACACCCACCTTGTCCCCAACTTTGAACTTTTCTACTTTGCTTCCCACCTCTGTCACTACACCAGTTATCTCATGCCTGCACCATTTCTTACATTATTGGAATCAAACTGAATTTGTTACTTGATGATATAGTATATATATATACAGTTCACTGTTTGATAAACAAAAATAGCCTTATGAGATCTATGACTAAGACCAAGAGTGTCATTAATTAATAGAGTCGTCGAGAGTTAGAGTAAGAAATGGTTTAAAGTACACATACCCTGGGACCAGAGGATAGATAGAAAAGCGCCATTCGTTCTTTGCCATGTGGAGGTCAGAGTGACATATCCCACAATACAACACTTTGAATGCCACGTCTTTTTCACCAGTTTCCCTGAAAAGAAATATTGCAAAGGAGAACCGAATTTGTTAATTAAGTGGCTTAGATTAACTTTGTTCCTGGAAACATTACTAATGTGTTTGTTCTAGTATATTGTTCTACGCCGTTGATATCATGAATTTGGATAAAAATCCGTTTCAAGGGCCATACAATTTTTCTTATATTATTATCTCAAAAAAATTATATTGGAACAAAGACAAATCACAATTATAATTGCAAAAGATTTGGACATATGTTAAAAAAATTGTCATTTTAGAAATCAGCAACGCAGATCATTTGCTGAAGAAAAAAAGAAAACTTTTTTTTTCTACTTAGAATTGAATATTTTTTAGAGGATGATTATTTTCTAAATTTGAGAATTGGGAGTACAAAACTTTTTATTCAAGAATTGCAAAAATGATATGATAAAAATGATAAATGATATAAGTTTTTTACTTTCTCTTGATTATGAAATAAAACTTGATGACTAAAAAAGAAAATGACTGTTATTTATGAGATAAGGGACTTGAGCACTTATCATAAGTAAGATGAAAAATGAAATATGTGAATGATGTAGGTCTGAGTCAATGTCAACTAATTCTAAAGGAAGAAGAATGATGAAAATTATACTCAAAATAGGTATCTTATTGTATTTATTAATAAGTTAGACTTATACGGAAGGACTTGATTTCATGAGAACATTTCTAGAGTATTATTTGATTATATTTAAAAAGTTCGAAGTACATGTTGTTGAGAAGTAAAGTAATGTGCATAAAAATATTGAATAAAAAAATTTGTGAAGACGAAAAATAGACGAATAACTAACTGTTTACGACGTATATTGACAAAATGGTACATTCCATTGAAGGAGTGGACAATTAGGAGGGGTGTAGAGAAACAAGGCCAGAAAGGTCATCTGTGGTCATAAGTCAACTAAAACCTCCATTTTGATACACTTCTTTCAAAAATATATGAATACCTTAATAATGACACTTATACCAATATCATTTGTCCCGAAAATTATGAGAAACAATAGAGAGAAACTCACTGTTAGAAGTCAAGAATCAATAAAGTTATAAATCTTTGAAGTTATAAATTTATAGGTATTTTAACTTCTACTTGTAAGGTGGAAATATTAACTCATTTAAACATGAACCGTTATAAATCATTGGACAAGGGATTCTGGGTTAATGAAAATCGAAATTAGAAAGACAAGACAATTTGTTTTATGAGGTAAATAATGCTGTTGCTATTTTCCAAAGAAGTAGTGATTGAGAAACGAAAAAAGCTGCAAGAAATATGCAGAGAAAGATGTATTGAGTGAAGAGAATGGGAAACCTTCTAGAGAAATTGAAAGGGGAGAGATGACCAGAAGGGTCCCTAGCTGCCCATCCGAATGCCTTTCTGGGATGCTCCACTTCAGCCTTTGACGCCATTTCAAGCTGTTTCAATATTTGGATCTGAAGAGAAGCGTGTATGGAGCAGTGTGGAATAGAAGAAAGAGGTCTTTATGAGTGCATGATGAAGGTTTGTCACGTATTTCCCGACTTTTATGGCTGAATTAAATTCTCCTGTCTCTTCTTATCTTTCTGTCTCATCTCATGTCCCACTTATCTGACACGTCTCACGTCTCATAATTAAACACCAGTACTTTTCACTCAATTTATAATATATTCTTATAAACGCTTGGATCTGTCTTACTACCTACATAGGCATACAACACAGAATTAGGTTTAGAAATACAAGTGTTGTTCAGTGACGTGTCAATATATGATAGGTGGGACAGTATATGGGACACAAAGATGAGATAGCGTATTTGAATCCGAATGGCTAACGTAACTGGCCACATTGTTGCTTGATTTACTAGCTTGAGTTATCGTGTAATAAACTATATAATATATAAATTTTATATATGTTTTCTACGCATATAGTGTGAAGTGATAAAGATGACACAGGGTCACAAGTTGAGAACTGCGACATATCAATGTGGGACCAATCTTGGTTCTTGTGTGGCTCGCGTTAGAGATGTATTATGACTCATCTTTATAGTGGGTGAAGTAATAAAGTGGGTCACAATGTCATAAAGTTCAGAATTCCCCACATATCAATGGGGACCAATTTTCGTTCTTGTGGCTCTTGTTAGGAGTTTATTCATATTTTTAATGTTTGTTTTATTTTTAAATATAAAAGTTTTGTGTTTTAATTTATTTTTGTTTCAAATACTATTTGAAAATGAAACACTTTCAACATTTTGTTTTTTGTTTTGTCACTTCTCTGTAACTTTCTTTTTCGAGAGACTTCAGTTAGACTTTAATGTCAAAACAAAACAATTGAAGAAGCGTCACAATTCACGACGCTACGGTATTTTATTATACTTAATTACTGCAAATATTTAATTTTTTAAAATACAATTTATCATTATTTTATATTAGTTATAAAAATTTCAGAAGAAGGAAGAAAGAATATGAGACACAAAAGAACAAATATTTCTCATTCAATACTCTTACACCAAGGATGTATCTCGAACATCCAGATTACTTGTTGAACCGTGTCATTGATTGATCCAGTTCACATTAAATATATCTCTTTTTTTTTCTTTTTTTTTCCTTGGGTAACTTCACGAAGATGTTTCTCGTAACAGTTATGATCATGCCCATATTTTTGTTTAAAATATTGATACATTTCTTATTTTTATTTAAGATTGTGTTTGTATTACTTCGTAGGTTTAAATTCATTTTGTCCATATAATTTTGTGAATATGTCATTTTTATTTTTATAAAATTTAATTCCATGTTTCATTTTTCAGATATTATAGTTAGGACATCCTATGACTTTTCTAGCATAATTATAACATCTTTGGGAAAATATCAAGAATAAAATATCTCTCATTAATTATTAAGGTCATTGTACTATTGGACAAAAAAAATATTGACATTTATCTAGGAATTTGTTTTAGAAAAATTTAATATTTTTAATATGCTCTTGAAGTGTCTTCTCCCAAAGCATGTGATATTTAATTAAAGAGACTTTGAGGCAAATACAG